TTTCACCATGTTGACCAGGATGGTCTCGATCTCTTGACCTCGTGATCCACCCGCCTCGGCCTCCCAAAGTGCTGGGATTACAGGCTTGAGCCACCGCGCCCGGCGCAAGACTCCATTTCAGAAAAAAAAGAAAAAAATAAAAATTATTTTTTTTAAAAAAGGGTGATCAGAGGAGGTGGCATTGAAGAAGAAACCACCTCCAATAACCCTCTAGTTCCAACCTGCCCTACCTCCTTTGACGGATGGAGAAAGTGAGATCCAAGAGGGAACTGGGGACAGATGGAGGTCATGGAGTGTAATTTGCAAGGCCTTCAGCAGGGTGGGGCTACTTTAGATACTGTTGGTCAGGGCCCTCTGAGCTCAGGAGGACAATGGAGCCCAGACTTGAATAACAATATGCAGAACTCCAAGAGATCAGCATCTGAAATCAGCATCTGGGCTGGGCACAGCTGGGGGAGGACAGATTCTGGCCCTGACCTCAGGGCGCTTGCGCTGGGTCGGGGAGAGGACAGTCCAAGAGCAGTTCATGTGGTCAGTGCCCGGAAGAAAAGAATACTCAACAGGGATTGAGGGTGGGGCAAGGTGTCAATGCCACTTCAAACAGTGAGCCGAGAGAACTGCTTAGGGGAGGGGAGCTCAAGGAGGTGGAGTGGAGGCAGGTGAGCTGCTTGGCTATTTGGTTTTAAGGCTGACTTTTGGTCTAGGAAAACAGAGTTGGTGTGTATGATTACAGTTCTTCTCTGCTCAAAACCCTCCCAAGGCTCTGGTCTCAGGAAAACCAAAAGACTTTAAGGTGATCAAAAGATCACTTGGATCTGCTCCCATTTTTTCACTGAACTCAACCCCCAGCCCATATTGCTCCTCCCTCCCTTTCCTTTTAATTCCTCAATGCCCAGGTCCAATGGCTGGCTTCCTTACTTCCCTCCTGCCTCAGCTCCCCCATGCCCTTTCCCAGCAATGGGGAGAAGATGGAATCCCTCAATCCCAGCAACCCTGTCCGCCTTTCCAGCCTTCTTTTGCTTCAGGGCACTGGTCATCATGAATGGCCATCTATATTTTACATAATTATATTTATAGTGTCTTCCCCCACCGTCTAAACTCCGTGCAGGCAAAGATCATCGTCTTTTCCTGCTGTATCAGGGCTTCAAACAGACTGGCGCACAGGAGGCACTCAGTGAATGCTTGCAAAATGAATTTTTACTGTAATGCATTTAATGAAATAGCCCAGATTACTATTGGGCATCTAATAAGAAACGTGACCGACTATTTTCTCCCTTGAGGGTGTGTGTAGGCATCCCGCCTCAGTTTCACCCGCCCTAAAATGGGATCAGGGATAGCTGTTTCAATGCCTTGTGGGAGCTCGGTGTGATTAAATTTGGTCACTAAGCCAAACGCAAGGGGCACTGCCTAGATTGAGTTAGGCCGCGGGCAGGGCGGCTCGTCCCCTCCCATCAGGCCCGCCCCGGTGGGCGGAGCCACGGGCCCGGCCAGCACGTGTAAGAGTTCGCGGCGGGTCGCTGCAGTCACTCACCTGAGCGCGCACGGTCCGTGCGTCCTCAGCTCGTGCGTCCTCCGCCCGCCTGTCTGCCTGCCTGCCCGCCCGCCAGCTCGCCCGGCCCGCGACTCATGTCCCGCCGCAAGGCCGGCAGCGCGCCCCGCCGAGTAGACCCCGAGCCCGCCGCCAACCCAGACGACGAGATGGAAATGCAGGACCTCGTCATCGAACTGAAGCCCGAGTCGGACGGGCCGCCCCGACAGGCACCAATGCTGGGGCCCTTCTCCCCGAAGGAGGTGTCCCCGGCGGGGCTGTTCGGGGGCGAACCGCACCACTTCCCTGACGCCGGGGCCGCCCTCCTCGCCCTTGGCGCGCGGAACCCGTGGACCCTGTGGACGTCGCTGACCCCGAACCTTCCAGGTGAGGGCCCGGCACCCATGCCCCGGGCTCTGAGCCCAGCCTCCCTTACCTTTGACTCTCAGGTGGGACCCCTGCCTTTGGGCATGGGCCCCCTCGCCCTGCCTTCTCGCCTTCGCCCTGTCCTGTCCCCCAGGCTCCCTTCTGACCTTCGGTTTCCCCTCTTCCTCGGCACCCTCAGCCCCCCCATCCTGGCCCCACCCCAGGCTCACCACTTGCTTCCTCCCTGCAGACCGCCAGCCCTGGACCGACAAACACCCAGATCTGTTGACCTGCGGCCGCTGCCTGCAGACCTTCCCGTTGGAGGCCATCACTGCCTTCATGGACCACAAGAAGCTGGGCTGTCAGCTCTTCAGAGGCCCCAGCCCCGGCCAGGGCTCAGGTGAGTAAAGCCGGGTGCAGTCCCTCTCTCAAGTTCAAGGGCTGGGCTTCCTGCTGGAGAGGGCTGGGCTGGACGGCAGGGCACTGAGCACTACTTCCCCTTTCTCGCGTCCCATCGGGTGCAGCTTAGGCGTGGCCAGGGCCTGCCCGACCTAGGGCAGGGACTAGTGGTGATGGGAGGGAGGGTGGGGGAGGCTGGGCAGGGAGGGACGGCAGCCTACAGGGTGTGGCCAGCCCCAGAAGACGAGCCTGGGGATTTGCCCCCCACACACACCCCCAACCTGGTTTCACTTCTCCTTCCCCTTGGCCAGAAATAACTGGCCAGGTGGCTGGACCAGGGTGGCAGTAGGGGGGACCTCTGGGGAGGGCAGCGGCCGGGGGGGAGGGGGAGCGGAGGCCAGCTGGAATGAGGAGGTTGCCACCCCCTCCTGTCTGTCACTTCTGATTGAGATGCTGGTACAGCTAGCTGTTTGGAGCCAGGGAAGGGGCTTCTGATGGAATCTCCCATCCCTGCGGCCTGGGAATCCCCTGGTTTCAGAGAGCTCCTGGGTGCTGGACACCTGGGTTCCTCCTCTTGGAAGGGAATTAAAATCCTTCACGTGGTGCTTGAGCTTTTGGTCAGTGTGGGCCGAAGGGCTTAATTCAAACCTAATTTCCAGCGCCCTGGCCCTTTTCCTCCTGGGACCTTTGAGAAGTGGAATTATTCAGGGTTGGGCCAGGGAGGGTCTTGGTGGTGAGAAAGAGAAGGAGGGGCTTGTATTGATTGAATGAGCTTTAGAGTTGGAGCAGGGAGAGTGCCCTGATGGAGGGGACAGGGGCTGTGATGGAATCACTGGGACAAAACACTGCAGGGCTTGGAGAATTGTGGGCACCTTGGTTTCACAGGCGCTGCTGTTTGAGCACTTAACGTGGACCAATGCTCTCATCCATTCCCCAAGGGAGGTCACAACCACCCTTGAAAGGGAGGGGACCTCTAGGGTCCCTGAATTGTAGCAACTGGGGCTCACAGAGGCTGTCTTGCCCAAGGTCACACAACTAGGGAGCAGAGAAGTCTGAATTTGAACGAAGGCCAGGCCTGTGCTCTTGGTGGAGGACTGGTTGAATCACGAATGTTGCCCCATCCAAGACTCTAGAATTTGAAGAATGGAAAGGCTAGTTCACCTGGGAAGTGTCCACTGACCCCTTCCCCCGAAGGTCCAGAGAAAAATCCAAATTCAGGTTTGGGGCTCTCAATTTGACATCCATGCAGAGGGTGGGGGACCCAGGTCACTCCTACCTCTTTACTTAGTGACCGCTAAACCTTCTCCGTAGCCATCTCCATTATTATTAATTTTTTTTTTGAGGCAGAGTCGCACTCTCACCCAGGCTGGAGTGCTGTGGTGAAATCTCAGCTCACTGCAACCTCCACCTCCCAGGTTCAAGCAATTCTCCTGCTTCAGCCTTCCAAGTAGTTGGGATTACAGGCACATGCCACCATGGCCGGATAATTTTTGCATTTTTGGTAGAGACAGGGTTTCACCATGTTGGCCAGGCAGGTCTCAAACTTCTGACCTTAGGTGATCTGCCTGCCTCCTGAAGTGCTGGGATTATAGGTGTGAGCCACCACGCCCAGGCCTAAACCAAAAATCTTATTTGAAAGCCTCTGTTCCCAGCTGGACATGGTGGCTCACGCCTGTAATCCTAGCACTTTGAAGGGCTGAGGTGAAAGAATTACTTGAGGCCAGAAGTTCAAGAATAGCCTGGGCAACATAGCAGGACCCTGTCTCTTTAAAAAATACTAAATACTAAATTAAAAATTTAAAGCAAAAAAAAAGCAAGCCTCTGTTCTGCCCTCTCCCCCACTGCCAGGAGTCTGGATTGAAATCACAGCTTTACCCCTTCCAAGCTCTCTGACCTTGGGGAAATGCCTCTCTGTGCCTCAGTTTTCCTACCTGGAATATGGAGATCTTATTTTCCTTTCCTGAGGGAAAGCTGGCCTATGAGCCATTGCTCAGTACCTAGCATGTACGAATTGCTCACTGAATTAACATAACTTTGCACAAGATTTTCAAACACATGGCCCAGTGCAATGGCTCACACCTGTAATCCCACCACTTTGGGATGGGAGGTCAAGGCGGGTGGATCACTTGAGGCCAGGAGTTCGAGACCCGCCTGACCAACATAGTGAAACCCTGTCTCTGCTAAAAATGCAAAAATTAGCCAGGTGTGTGTCACGGGGCGCCTGTAATGCCACCTACTTGGGAGGCTGAAGCATTAAAAACAGCTTAAATCTGGGAGGTAGAGGTTGTGGTGAGCTGAGATCCTGCCACTGCACTCCAGACTGGGCAACAGGCTGTCTAAAAAGAATGGTCTTAGGCCGGGCGCGGTGGCTCAAGCCTGTAATCCCAGCACTTTGGGAGGCCGAGGCGGGTGGATCACGAGGTCAAGAGATCGAGACCATCCTGGTCAACATGGTGAAAGCCC